CATTGAAGTTGGCCCTTCTGAAGTCAAGGGCTTTAGCCTTGCTGTAAGGCCTTGACGCCCTGCGTTGGATAGTGAAATCCAGCAGGTGATGATCAGTATTGACCAGGTGGTCAAAGGACCTGCAGTCCCCTCACCAGGTCATCCCCTATGGCCAGGACCAGGTCCAGCAAGGCATTACCCCTAGTGGGGCTGTGCACTTCCTGTAATACAGCCAGGGACCTACGCGAGCGGTTGCTCTTCAGTCTCCCATTACCAAGCAAATCTTTATAATGGTGTCGTGTAGTGAGGTTTGTGTATTTCTTAAACTAAATACTGTGGCTCTGTCTTCAGATATGTTTTTAGATGCCTTGTTTATCAGTCTAATGTAAAAACCCTCATCCAACCTAGAAAGCCTGGATCTATGAAAATGTTTGCTGAACGCCAGCATTGAGGCGCCCAGTTTTTGGGCATGGTTTTCCCCTCCGTATGTTGCATCTTTTTGACTCGGCTTTGGCTGCAAGAACTTTGTGTCCGACTCGACTGATTTCTTTTGGATTCTGTGTACAACTTGACTGATCTCAGTTGACTTCTGTGTACACCGATACAAAAGTGGGCATTAGGTTGTAAGCTCTTTGCTGCTAGGTCTTTTGCCTTTCTCCAAAGCATCTAGCATGCTTTTTTGTTCTACAAAACGTTTTTTGGTGCCATGCTACTACATACAAATGCACAAACAGCTTCTACTCCAAGTGTGTTTTGGGATACTTTACAATGTATTTTAGCAGGTTTATTAATTTCATCTGTTTAGTAAATTACAGCTACTTTGATAGAACGCTCCACGCTGCCAAAACATTGTCGTCTTGTGATGCTTTTGACTGCAGAGAGAATGATCCCACTGCATGCGGTTCCCCAGGCAAGAGCAGATAAGGCAGCCTAGGGTTAGGGCACCTTTTCTAGGCCTCTCCCCGTGCAGGAGGAGCAGGGATCCTGAAGAGGACTGCACAGTCATGGTAGCAGCTGTCAAATTGCACCTCTGTCTCAACCCAGGTGCAAGACAACCATCAGGCTACTGCTGCCTGCAGATTCATGGCTGGAGACTACCAGATTCACTGGTCCTGTCTCCATCTCCACTGATCCATCGCCACAGGGCTTTTGAAGAATGTGTTTCCTGTGTTTGAAGCCTGCACGTGACTTCAACGTGAGGAAGCTGGTGCATGAAAACAACAACCACACAACCTTGACAAGATGGAGATCTGGATCCAGTGGCAAAGGAGAACCCTAGACAACAGGAGACCTCCTTCTTGCTGCAGCCTTCTTTCATTGTTACAACTATTGAGATCCTGACATCATCTTCTGCCTGACCCACCTCTGAGGACTTACAGCTGGACCACGGGTTGTCTGAAACCTCCCCTCAGACCTGTTCCTCAGTGGGTGAGCCTGCTAGGAGTGTGAGACTCCAGGTGGCATCACTCTGAGGATCATTGGGACACACAAGCCTCTCTACCACTACAGGGTCTGAATCTACAGAGAAGGGGGGGAAAAAATTAAACATCTTGTTAGGGAGAATCAACCAGGGAGCAGTCACTGCAGCCTGCTGTCAGGCCGAGACTGTCATCCTGTCCTGGGGCAAAAGGGGCATCAAGACATCCTGCTTGGGAAACTATTTACAGCAACTAGCTATGAAGTTGCTATGTGCAGAGTTGCTGGAACCAGACTGCTGACCAAGACGGTGACCTGCCAGAAAAAAAAAGGACTGCCATCATCTCCAGGGAAGTAAGTTACACCATCGACATTGCAGGTCTGAATGAGACGAGATGATGGGATGAGGGCTGAGGGAAGACGGTGGAGGCTACACCTTCCTGTGGCAGGGGAAACTGGCCCAGGACAAACGCACACACTGCACCTATTTTGTCTTCAAGAATCAGCTCATTAGTCAACTTAGAGAGTTCTCTGTGGACATCAATGAACATCTTGTGACCCTCCGTCTCATCAGTAACAACCGGGTACTGAGCCTGACAAGGATGTCAAAGAACAATTCTACTTTGACTTTGACCATGTTCTGACTAATACACCCAAGGAGAACCAGATCATTCTCCTTGGCGACTTCAGTGCCAGAGTTGGGCATGACCTGGAACCGGAGTGGCACCACTGAGAAGGAAGGAGTAGGGAAAACTGGCTGTAGTGGCATCCTTCTCCATCCTTATAGTTTCATAGTTTCATATATTTAGGGTCGGAAGGGACTTAGTAGATCTTCTAGCCCGCCCCCCCGCCAGGGCGGGAGAACAACAAAACCCCAAAACAAAAACGGGACTCAAATGAGTCCAGCCAGGTAGGTATCCAGCCTCTTCTTAAAGACCCCCAGGGTAGGGGCCAGCACCACTTCCCTTGGAAGTTGGTTCCAGCTCCTAGCCGCCCTAACTGTGAAGTAGTTTTTG